GTATGGGCTAACCAGTTGACAACAATCACAAATTTATAAAATATAATCTTTACTTTGACTTACAGATAACTGTATAAAGCTGACAAAGTAGGGATTAAATTTTATAAATTTGCAGTTGTGGTTTTAGTTCTTGTTTCATTACTTTTTGTAGCAGTATCCCTACTTCATTTTTAAAATTAATAATTTTTAATATTCTTGTTTGTTTACTTTTTATGTTATACCTGTAGAAAGTATATACTTTACCTTTAGAAACTGTCGCTTGTCTATCCATCAATATGTATCGCCATCTGTTGGGTTGAATTGGAAATTGAAAAATCTTTTAGCAATCATCCAAGCCATCTAGCGGCTAGCTCCGTTGACGTGATCAGGTAAGTAGTAGACTAAAAAGTTGCTGTTTTAGAAATTTTTTAATTGTTATATCGGAAATATTAGCGAACTTTTTAGCGTATTATTATTATTATATATGGGCATAATATACCGTCACCAATACTTTCAATGGTCGATTTTTCGCTTAGAAATTCAATAAGGTGGTTTTTCGGCGCGTGAATTATTTGGAAACCTTATTGATCCCTACTATTAAATACTGCTGTACTTAATAATAAAGAGCACGGTATTGCACTCAGGAATCTCAATGATATCAATTGTGTTCACATAATTTAGGATGTCAGTAATGTCCATTGTGTTTGAATAATTTGGGATGTCAGTGATGTCAATTGTGTTTGAAAAATTTTAAGACAAAGCCAATAAGTAAGGGTAAAAATATTTATGGTATTCATCCACACATTTTAGAAGAAAAATTATTCAACATTTATGAAAAAAGAACGGAATAAATTTATTGTGCAAGACTTTATTCTCACCAAAATTGTGTGTATACAAGTAACAGCAATTCAGTGATATACCAGTGTCACACTCCCTTGCTGAACCATGTTCTCACAAAACATCAAAAGAAAAAAGTATGTTATTATAGAAAATTATCTTATTCACTATTTATATAAATTTAAATACTTGGAGATATATGTGCTTTCAAAATATATTCAAAGATAGCATAAAAATATAAAAAAGTTGAAACTTAAAGCATAACTAATAAAATAATACGATTGAAGTAAAATATAAAGGTAAAAATTGAATTACAAAAAAGTACTATAAATACAGTGAAATGACAATTTTTGTTTACTCGAAAACAAAATTAACACTTTAATGAATAAAAGTATTTTTTTCAGAATTATTTTAGTAACTTGTTTCAAATATCATATATTTTGAAGTATTTATTGATTTTATCAAATCTTTATCTGTTCTTCAAAAATTGAGTTTTTAAATATATCTTAACAATGACTTTTTTATTCTGTATATATCATATGGAAACATTCAGTTATCATTTATAAGGTTGCGCATAATACAATGTGAAATAGCTATCCAGAAATAATACAGAGGTTTAGTGTTTTCATTGAAAAAACTAAGCACCACAATTCTTTAATATTTGTTTGTTTGTTATTAACCACAAAGCCATACAATGGGCTATCTATGCTATGCTCACCGTTGGCATTGAAACCCAATTTTGGGGTTTATAAGCCCTCAGACATGCCTCTCAGCCACCTGGGGGTGTTCTTTGATGTCTATCAGGGGAATATAATCTATGGTCCTTAGCGTATTCATAAAACTTTCTCTCTTGAATTTAGATTTTCTCAGTTTCTAAACGTGCATGACTACTAGTTAACATATACACTTTCTTTCACAAAATGTTGACGTTTGACAAAACATTACCTTAATCTATTTTACTAAAATATTTTGAATAAACTACAATTTTCTATATTTATATATATTTTTTGTCATAACTGCTTCAAAATACTGACTGGATTCTCAATTCCATGCAATACACATTGTAACAAATAACTTGCATACATTGAAATATATTGATATATATTTGTCAGGTATAACTGACAATCCTAAAATGATGAAATTTCAGAAAAGACTTGCATTTTTTTAATAAAAATGCCGCTTCCTAATACGCTACTTTACAATCATATTATATGACATTAAGTGATGTCAAAGTTTCGCTTGTGAAGACACTGAGAGACAATTTCTAGGGGTTATGTAGCAGATTAAACGATGACCTGATCTTTCTATCACGTCTATGTTTAAAATCATTTAAATAAAATAAATCAATGTTTCTTCTATTAACACAGACCCTTGTACAGTAGTATTATAATAGAACACGTAATACTCTCGAAGGATAGATATTCAACAGTAGTACAGTAGCGATTCACCAAGGAACAAGACATGTTTTATATATAGGAAGATAGATGGATAGATAAAGAATACGTGTAGCTTAATTCTATATATTATTCAGTAGGTAAAGAAATCATCGTTTCATTGGAGAGACTAGAAATACTTTAAATTTAATAAATTTATATATACGTTTCCTAGTCCCGTTTTTAGACGTAACTTCTACTCGTCAGCATGAATGGGACAAGTTGACGATTTAAACTTGAATTTACTACTTCTACAAAAATCCCAAATATTTAAAACACGTGTTTAGTGTTGGTCCACAAGAAAATGTAACTGCAAAACGTGTATTAGTTTTGAAGAACTCTTTTATAGGAAAGGTATATGGAAATTTAAAATCACCTTGTTTCTCATTTGGAACTGGAAAAAAAAACTACTTGAAGTGGTAAATTTCCCTAAATCCCCATAATGTTTAAATTTGATTCGTATATATTCATTCATTTACACTTTTGTTTAGATTTTTGGATTTTATTTAGGTGATAAGAGAAAGCTTGAGATTTCGCCCTCATTTTTTCGAACACAAACTATAATAATTAATCTACAAAACCAATATTAATAAATTTCTATTTGAAAAATTTTACACAATTCCCAACTCACTAAGGGTAGACGGAGCTCTTATTTATTACACTGTAATAATTCTTTCTCTTCCGTGAAATGGATTTCATCTTTAAATTTATAAACACAGTTTACTAATTTATGTATCAACAATGTTCAGAGCCATGGTTTTTCAAATTCGGCCTCGACTGCTTCGAATTGATACTTACCTGAAAAAAGACGAAAAAAAATTACTTATTTGAATGAATGGCAACTGCCTGTTGTAGAAACACAAGCGTAGAAGACGACGTTTCGAAAGTCTTCTGCAACAAGCAGTTGCCTCTCGTTCAACTAAATTTCGTCATGAATACTATGCCTAAACAATCTATCAAAGAATAAAATAATTATTACTAGACAATAACTGAAACTTACACAAACATGCACATATATTGTTAACTAATTTTCTTCATGAAACAGACATTAATATTTATCTTTCATCAGTTATTTATTTCGGAATATAGTTTTGGTCACATAACCTATGCTTCACTATAACTCTTCTTTTATTTTGCCATGAATTGGTACTAATACTGTGACTCAGGAAAATAATATTCATTATTACAATTTAACGGGCAAGGTTCTAGTTTAAATTCTTCCAGTGTTCAGCTACACGAAAATAAAGTCGTAATATTTAATTTGTCTTCATGACTTGAGTGCATACAGTAATATCAAAATTCATTTGTATACATTGACGTTTCATAAATGCTAATAACCCTTTCTCATGCGGTTTTGCATCAGCTTTATTATGTAACCTTTTTCATACGGACTTCATTCATCTAGCACTACTTACAAGAAAATTCTTTAGTATGAAAAAGCCTAAAGATCATTTCTTTTTAAATAATTAAAACATATTTGCTATTTTCTTTCTCAAAACGTGACAGATAACTTCGCCAATGCCGCACTGTGCCAGTATATAATGATACAATAAACATAAAAATAATATTTTAAATAAATATGTATTACTTTTAAATCTATTCCAAAATGTGATGAACATAACTTTAAACTTCAAATGTTTTTGTTTGATTTTATTGTTGTTTTTGTTCCCAATTAATCACATTATAAAGTATAGATGAGGAATGCGTTCTTTTTTTTGTTCTTTAATTGATTTTTGCAGAAAGGTTTTAATTCTTGTAAAAGTTATAGTTATCAGGGATATGGCTATACTGAAAGTTTATAGATGTTGTGTCTATTCCATTGACATATGAAAACTGAACAAATAAATAGGGAACGAATTTTAACGGAAAGTTAGGATCGGTGGTTATTCATAGAATTGCTATAAGAAGTACCCAAAACAAAATAAATGCTGCAATAAAAAGTACACAATCAAGTAAGGTGATACTAGTTGGATAGATTTTAAAATAATTTTCAATCCCTGCTTTGGTTGGCAAAAAGTACACAATCAAGTAGTGATACTAGTTGGATAGATTTTAAAACAATTTCAATTGCTGCTTTGGTTGGCAAATTTAGATTGCTTCGTTTAGCTATATTGATCACTCATACCATGTTTGTATGCTTTATAGTGGGAAGTCAACTGTTTCAATTTGCAAAAAAAATGAATAAAAATCGAAATAAATATATTAATGAGCATCAAAATTTTAATACTGTTTCACAGCATTTCATACATTTCACAACCTAAAAAGTTATACAAATGTTAAATAAAATTTTATTTTTAATGCACAAAAAGAACACTGTTTAAAACTTTCTATAAAGTTTCATGCAGTTGGTTATGTATTTTAAATGTGTGTGTGAATGTAAAAGACTGATGGGTGCTTTTAGCACTACCAAGGTACTGAAAGCATTAAAGGTTACAACTGATAATTTTGAAAGCTCAAGTATAAAATATCTTATAAAGTATTTGTAGTGTTAATGTGAAGTGTATATAATTTAAAGAAACTAGAAGCTATAGTTAGTATGTAGACCGTATACAGTCTCAACAGTTAAACTAAAAATAATTATCCATCCATAAATAAACAGCACACCATCCCTGGCAGATCATAAACATCTGGTTTAAGGAAAACTTTTAGCAGAGAAGTAGATATTGAAACATTTGTCTGCTATTACCAGCAAGTGTTTGTCACTTATACTTCATATGGAGGTTGAGGGGCTTGTATAGTGGCTTAAATGTTTGACCATTGTTATAATTACAACTAGGTTAGAAAGCTTTCTGTAAGTAATTGGAGAACAGTTATAACAGAGCTCTTGTGGCAAATCTTTTTCAAATGTGTGAAATAAGGCCAACAAAATTTGAAAATCCAGTCTTAATGAGCCTGCATCAGTTATACAAAGCTTGGGTTGTGTTGTTTTTCTTAATCTATGCTCAAATTATATCAATGAACACATTATCTATTATAACAATGCTCAATTTTTTGTGTGCCCTGAAAATGCTTGCTCACTTCATTTTTACAAATGTAAACCAAACAAGCACATATAAATATACTTTTAGTAAATATTTTGTACAACAACATATTAAAAGCTTATCGGAGTTTTTAAAAGGTCTAATGTTATAGGATAACGTTAGTTTTTTATTGGTAGTATTAAGTACAGTAAAGTTTACCCCTAACTAAACTAAAAAATGTACACAAGTTACAGTGTTAATTTGTCTCTGTCAAATATTGGCCATACTTGATAAAAGCTTAACTAATGTGAGTATTAAGACAAGTAGACTTAGATTTCATTGTCTGTGATTGGAATTATTTTGTATTATTCTAGAAATCCCATATTTAAAGAAGTGCTATTGTAATAAAGATACTAATTTGACTGCAAATGTTTTGCAAGTTTCTGCTAGCTTAGAATATTGAGATTTTTGTTATATTCTGATGTTTGTAATTTTTACCTTCTTTTTTTTTTTTCTTGGCAGAACACCCTTGAAAAGTGTTGTGTGTGTCAACATCCTATCTTAGACAGGGTAAGTAAATTATCAAACAGATGGGTGTGCATAGGTGCCAATTTATCAAGGACTTGGAGGTCGAGGGGGGCACTTATTTTACTTTCATAATCTTTGGCATAAATATAAAATCAATATTATATATCCAAATTAAAAAATCATGTTAAACACAATTATAATCAACTCTATTCTTTATAATTATGCTGACAAACAAAAAAATAAAAACTGAGGTAAATTAACATCCTAATAAAAAGAAAGAATTGCAAGTAAATCACTTGTTAAAATGTTACTATAAATAAAAACAAATTTCACTCTTTGCTTTTGCGTAAAGGGGTTATCACCGAGATTCATGGGTTAATGCAGTTTTCCACTTATACATAACTTCTGGATAAAATTTAAATAAAATGAATAACTTATTCAAAATTAGATTGCTGGGTATGAGGCACTTCAAACACGGCTTTTTTCAGAATAATGCTTTTAATTTGAAAGAATTGTATGATCACTCAAGAAACACTGTGTAATCCCTTTCCAGAAGTCGATGGGATCACTGCATTAATACAATAGTTAATAGTAGAGTGACAAGTACTCTATTCTCATGTGCTTTTCCTTGGTTAGGCCAGCTCCCCCCCCCCCCCCAAATATATATTGATGGTGCAGCTGCTCCTTTTGTTACACTAACTCAGCACTTATGTTTTTTAGCACATTTTTGTAAGCAAATATCACACTACATTTTAAATACAATTTATTTAAGGGTAAATGATGATGTATTAAGACTCAAAAATTCTTGCTCTCAAAAAGAAATCTTAAAAACCTAAAAATACTTGGATTACATGCATCAAATTATTATTTTATACGCTAAACCTTAGTGCTGGAATATGGAATTACATTATGAATGTGTGATAATATATATAAAAGCATTTATACATTTATTTTTGAAGTAGCTAATATTAATGGTAACTTTAATACAATCTTAAGATGTGAGCTGTTATTCTTTTTTATGACACAGATCTTGAGAGCTACAGGGAAACCATATCATCCTGGCTGTTTTACTTGTGTGGTTTGTGGAATATGTTTAGATGGTATTCCATTTACTGTTGATGCACACAATCAAATCCACTGCATTGAAGACTTCCAGAGGTAACCTTTCTTCCTGTTTATTTCATTTGATGAGTAACTTTTGAGAGGCCCGGTATGGGTTAGGGCACTTGACTGGTAATCTGAGGGTCGCGGGTTCAAATCCCCGTCACACCAAACATGCTCGCCCTTTCAGCCACTGAGCAAGGAAAAATTAACAAATCATTACTCATTAATCCATGGTTCAGAGCCATTTGCAGTATAAAGGCTGAAAGAAATTACAATATTGTAAATGTACACGTTGCACAGCTACATGCTTTAAAATTATGAATCATTATTTCAAATGTTACAGAAAATGCCGCAAGATTTGTGGCAAAAACTGTAATACTTTGTAGTGATTGAGAAATGTCATTTCTTTTTGTAAGCTTAGAATTTACTTGGAAGAGGTTATTTATTATAGTAAGGGTAACTCATTAGAAATATCTAAAGTATAGATTATCTTGAATAAGTGCTTTTGTTTTATAAAATTACAGTCTTACACTATGATTAAAGATAATGTCATAACACAGAAACTAAAAAAACTTCTATTCAGAAACTAAAAATACTTCTATTCAGAAGTTTTACTTTTTTAATATTATAATCATATTTACTTGTGCCTCTTCATTCATCTGTTAACAAATTTAAAATATCTGCAAGCTTCAATTTCGTTTCTAACTATCAAGATTTAAGTTGAATTTAGTACCCCCACCCAGTCAAGGCCGGGTGAAGGATTTGTTTGACTTGTGTACAAGATAAATCAAAGTTTTCATCTCATTTTGAACAAATTTGGTTCAAAGGTTCAGTGCCCATCAAAGATCAAACGATTAATTTTTGTTGAATGTATATCAAAGGTCAAGGTCACTGAAGGTTAACCACTTCCATTGTAATGGAAGCCAATAGGGATTTTGAAAAATGGTCAAAACTAGAGAGCAGATGGAGACAGAAAGATGATATTGGCTCCTAGATGTACATTTTAGAGAGTGAGAAGTTGTTTGGTTTATATTTTAGATCAGTTAATACAAAAGTAAAACATTGCAGAGTGGGGTTTACACTACACACATTAAGTACCTTTCTAGTATACACATTGTCTGATATATGGAGACCAAAGAAAAGTGGACACAATTGGCTAATTAATACTGAATTTTTTTATTATTGATTTGTGTTGCTATTGCTCCTTTAACTTAAAATGCACATTCAAGTTCAATATTTAAAGTTTCTTTAGCTCAAAGTTGTGGTTGTTGCAGAAAAGTAACTTTAAATAAGATGTGAAAATAATTCAGCTGAGAAATACTTATTGATGTCTTGGGGGTGGGTAAACAACAGAATTTTTGTCTTGTAGCCAAAAATCAAAATATCACTGAGCTACGCAAACATAAAAATTTTAGTCTAATGGTAGAGCTACAAAATTATAAATCAATACTATCCAAGAGTGAAACAGGAAATCCTGAACAAATTTCAGATGTTCATAGAACATAAGATGCCAGGATTTGTAACATTCATAATGTACCAATCTGTATCAATATACAAAAGGTCTAAGACTTGTTTTGTATAAGAAAACATTTACATAGTCACTGGAAAGTGAAACCTTTTTAGACATTGCTGTAGCAATTAAAATGATAATGACAAAATCTGGCACTTAATCAAATTGAGTAAAGTTGGCAGTTAAGATAATAATGAGCCAAAATTTAAATGGTACTTCATCAGATCATGTAAACTACATTGAGATAGAAATTAAAGTTGTTTTAATTTTATTTTTTAGCAAAAAATCAGATCATATTGTTCACTTTATATGTGTTGATGTCTAAGAGCTGAAAGCTCAGTTTGGCATCTTGTTACTTTTGACTGATGTTTTTACTGACATATTTCATAGGGTATATGAATGAAAAGCCCAATTTCATTAGTTTTGCATTTTTTGTATGTTCTTTTTTCCCAGGTAACTGATATATGTTGTGAAAACCAGTTTTTAACTTTGTTTGATACATGTGAACAATAAAAGAAATATTGAATTGTTGGTAGTATCTATTATTTCATATTAATGATTAATAAGGTTTGAATTTAAAAATCTCAATGAAATAAATAATTGTTTTTGAATAGATGTAAGTTATTTGACAAAACTATGTATGCAAGTAAGATTGAGATTTTCCTGAGATATTTTTTGAAACTATTTCCATACTAGTTTTGAACAGTTACTAAATTGTCAAATTTTATGCTAAAATTTCTTTTAAACAGAAAATTTGCCCCTCGTTGCTGTGTGTGTAAAGGTCCAATCATGCCAGAACAGGGTGAACAAGAGACTGTTAGGGTTGTGGCTTTAGACAGGAGCTTCCATGTAAAGTGCTATAGATGTGAGGTGAGCTAACTTTTTATCATGACTACAAACAATTATCATAGTTTAATACAGTTAATCACATAATTTCTCTGTGTAGAGAAGATGGTGATTCCTTTTGACTTGTAAACTCCTAGTAACAAGCGATTTACATTTTGAAATCGGGCAATTGTGGGAAGCTTAGTGAACAAAACAATCTACTAACGGTGATCATGATGTTAGGAAAACACATAGGCCTAAATACAAAATCAGTTAAACACAAAAATAAGAAACCTATAATCCAAGTAGTTTCAAAAAGTAGACCTTTTCTTCATCAAGGACAAACTTATGAAGAAAAGTCTGCCTTATTTTTGTCTTCACTGATGCTAGAATTCCAATAGTATAACTGTTTTTAATGGGTACACTCATTAGTATTTTGGACTGCAAACTTAAAATTAAGTAAAAAGAATGATCGATGAGCCATGTTAATAAGTTGATATGACTATACTCTACCTTAGCATGTTCACGACATCGTGTGCTACCAGAGGTACATATACATGTTTTCTGTTGGACATCATGAGCCACTCGTGGTACACAGTACCCATAAGATATAACTGTACCGCATATCTCCGATGACTTGTATGAAGCAGTTATTTTATACAGATGGCTATAATAAAGCCATGCCTTCCATCATGTACCACTGGTGGAGCACGAATGCTATGTTGAAAGGACAACTGAAGTAAAACAAATTTACATGATTAAATCACTTTATTTTAAAATTACATCTAGAGATTGGCATTAAATTTGTCATTGTGAATAATTGAAGCAAAAAAGCCCTAATTGAGACTTTTTTCATAAATATGAAAACTGTTATGAGACTGTAATATAATAAAGATAGAACTATTATCATCCACAGTAGGGATTATTTTATCTGATGTCCCTTTTTTACCCCCCATAAAATTGTGAAATATTCATACTTCTTCTAAAAAAATGTCAAGATTAGGCTGAAAAAAAAATAAATATTATGATCATTTGATTATTATTACTTAAATATTGGTGTGCACCACAGGTGGCACATGACAACCAATGCTTAAATGGGTAAAGACAGGATGTCATGTACCACCAGTGGTGCACTCAAGAGAAAGTTCCCAGTGCAGTCATTCTGTCATAAAATATAACATAAAGTCATAAAATTAGCTATATGTAAGGCAGAGTTCGCAATGAGGCCTTATGTTCCTATTGCATAATTAGAGAAATCACTTACGCCGTGAACGTGTTAAATTGTAGATCTAAATCATTTCACTTTTTTATACTTACGGAAACTGTAGAATTATTTGTGAGAAAACAACATAAAGCATAGATAATAATAAAAAAAAAGTTATTTATATATAACATTTTTAGAAGATAAAACCTTATTTTGTTTTACATTTGGAGTGCTTCTGCCTTTTAATCCAATATTTACTAAATATGTCTTGATAGTGTTATGGTATTTTATTTTCTGTAGGATTGTGGGGTGCAGCTTTCTTCTGAGGCTGAAGGACGGGGATGCTTCCCACTTGATGATCACATTTTGTGTCGTGGCTGTAATGCCCAACGTGTCCAAGCCCTGACATCCAGCATAGCTGCAGAATAATAATAATCTGTGAAAGTCTTATTTAACTGACTGCTTTGATTGTTGTGACACAAGTTTAAGATTCAAAACATTTTTCGGGTATTTGAGCATTTTGTGAAACAAAGACTTAAAGTAATTATTTTAGCACAGGAAATATATCCAAGAAAATCGCAAAAGTAAATATTGTTCATATTATGTTTTAAGTTAAAGGACTTAATCTACTTAAACTTTTCAAACTGTAAGATACTTAAGAATTTTGTATGAAGTGAAATTTATAAAACTGAAAATCTGTAAAGTAACTTCAACCACATTTATATAATTGCTCTATGTGCAATGAGATTTCATTGTCATTGGATCTATTAATTTTGTATTTAGAATATTGCACCACCCAAAATTTATCTAATCAACAAGAAAGTTGCATTTTGCAAGGGCATTTCAGATTGAATTATGGGAAGTGTTGCAAATACAAAAACTTGAAAAGAATTTACGTTTATAACAGTTCAAGTCCTGAACAGGCCTGAAAGAGAATCAACCCACTCTCGGAATATTATTAAGCAGCAACTAGGGCAACAGGCTAAGAGTCGACATTAATTTGAATTTTATTTAATTTGCACGGGAGATGTCATCTCCAAGCATTCGAAAAAGTCTTGCGTGTGCAGTCTTGGTGTACTTTCTTGTAACTCCAACCTTCATGGATCGAACTTCCTGTTTCATGTCCTCCACATGCACTTATACGTGTTTATAGTAGTAAGTGAGGAGAAAGAAATCCTCATATAGCACTTTATTAGTTAACATGGTAGAATAATAATAATTGATATTTGTGATTAAATATCTCAAAATTTGGATGAGATGGATTTAATTAGAGAATTAAAATGTTAATTTAGATTTATTAGATTTGGACTAAATTGAGGACAAAGATCAAACATCTGATCCATAAAAATTTGTTGTGGGGGGGGGGGGGCAGGAGTGCCCCGAGAAAACCCACTTTCACAGATCAGGTGCTGAAAATTCTACCTGATCAGTGCCCAATGGCTGAAAGAAGTAACATGATTTAATAAAACAAAAAGTAAATATATATTTCCTTCTAGTTGGTGGTATGCTATACAAGGGACTAAATTAGGCATTTGTACTAATTAGGTGGTTAACCATGATGATTGGTGTAGCAGAAAGTTGTGATAATTCTTGTATTAGGGTATTACACTTAGTAGCATGTTTATAAAAGTTAGTGGCAAGTTTAAATATTCTTTCTTTGAAAGCAGAATATATTGGAATTTATTATGGTATACTGGCAGAGTGTAGCGAGTTGTTGGATCCTGTATATTTAATAGTTTGACATATTACAGTTCTTGCAATGGTGGGCTGTGAGTTGGCTACTTCAGTTTCAGCATCGATGGGCTGAGGGTTGTCTGCTTCAGTGAGTTGAGGGCTGGTAGCTGAAGGTGATTTTTTTTTTTTTTTTACTTTTTGGGGGGTGTACTGGGGTGTTGAGTCAGAAGAGTTGGCAGACAGATCCGTCGTTGTGATGATTAAGTCATGATCAGAGCTGGAACTGTCATTCTGGGCATTCTTGAGCAGGGCAAAATGTGAAGGGGATGACAGCGGCTTGCTGGTTGACCTGGTAACCATAGTCCTGGTGCAGGTAGACATGCTTGAAAACAATGTCTTAAGAGAGCCCTGAAAAGGGCTGTTTAACAACATAAAAACCTTTACCCTACTAAGGTAGTTAGACCCTTAAGACTAGAAATGTGAACCCTGCAGTGTGCTCTCTACTTCATCGAGTCAGTAAAGGAGATGTTATACAGTTTGTTGATTTTTATTCACAGACTAGTTAGATACGATTGTGGTATTAATTGAACTCTGTGTGTGTACACACAATCCCTGTGCTAAATTAATTACTTGTCGATTTATTATGTACCAATGTGGTTTTACTTAAGTGTGTATAATGGAGTAATCTATTGATGTTTCTCACTTGTGTCATTTATATTTATATGATTTCTTCTAACATTAGTGAACTTAAAATACTAGTAATACATTTTTGTGTCCTACTTTACATTAATGAAACTGAAGAAACTTTGTAGTTGCCAACCTGCTAGTAACTGGAAATTCCTGTAATTTACCTTTAATGTTGTGTATTGAGACTTAATATCCTGTTGCCTTGACACAGGTAATTTTTTCTACTTACATAAAATCAATTAATTTATACAAGTAATGTTTTTGTTATATACACATTGCACAATATTGTTTAAGATTTCTGTGAAATAGGTGATGTTTACACTTATTTTGTGGTTTTTACTTTTTATTGTTTATAAACTGTTTCATATCAGTAGACAAATTAATTTTTTTACTGCTTATTTATTTTTTATTTGTAAAATTACATGTTTCTTTGTGCATAATTTTGGAACAATACAAGTTTCTATAAATCTGAAGGAGCCATGGAAATTATATGTGGATTGCCACTAAAAATAGAGAATTCTGTTATCATTGCAATTTACAGCATTTGTTGAATACAAGATGTAAGTATGTGAGAATATTTTTTTTTTATATTTTGTATGTTTAAAAATGATTGACTGGGGTTATACTTAAATTTTTTTCAATGTAAATTTAATATTCATGATTCCCATGGGTCAGGGAAGCTGGGAAAAGTCAGTGAATGTTATATTTTGCATTCACAGTGATTATTAGTGAATTTCATTTTTAAGATAAAATCCAGTAAAAAGTCGATGAATTTTATTTGAGTTAGCGATACTTGTAGGACGCAGATGGTAAAAAAAAAAATTATCATGAGCACCAAAAAATTGCATACAAGGTATTTCTGGTGCATTTAGCACATTAGTATATGTTTTTTATGCATAAACATTGTTTTGTCTACATCATTCTCTTTGTGTTAACTGTTAATTTTCATAGAGTATGAAGCAGCCATAATAATTTAAATAAACAGAAGTAAAGTTCCTGTTCAAATGGAGTGTAATGTCTCTGGACAAGGCTTCTTTTTGTCTCTATAAAACTAGGTCATGGAAAATTGTTTTTCTACAGCTTAAAAGCCCTTTTAGAGGTAGGCTATTTCAATTAAAGTTGTTTTAATTTTAAAATTTTATTGTCTTAAGATAATAGTTCTCATTGTAGAAGGAACATGTAATACCCTTAGTATACTATATCATTGACATATTTTTGTGGGAAAAATATTATATATATATAAAAAATTGAACAGTTTATTTAGGTAAAGCCTGACAGTCTAAAGAAAAACAAATCCACACAGTTTTGATGAGTTATTATCATTCTTATCTGTACTTACATTTATTCAATTTATAATCAAAAATAACTATAATAATTATATAAAATAATAATTTATTAGTAAAAAATTGTTTTGATTCATTAAACAAAATATACATCACTAAGCACTGCCTATAGCACACAATATTATGCATAGTACATCTCACAGGAGTCGTTGACAGGCGATATCTCCAAAAAATAGAATATCACCAGTGAAAATTGTAGAAAGAGTTGAGCCTGTACTAGTGAATAATGGAATACATACTGTTTATCTAATCTATAATGCATCAGGTATTTGAGTAGTATATTTGGAAAACTTATTGATTGTCAAACAACAAACAATATGCTAGGGACAGGAAAGAATAAAGACTGGAGTTAAAGATAAGCATGCACAGCCTCACAGAAATAAAAGTTTAAAAAAGATTAAAAGTTTGGGTTTAGTTTTGAAACTAGGAATTTTCAGACTACACTTTGCTCTCAAGATCAAGTTATTAATTGTTATGGAGATTGTGTAGTGCTAGTATGTTCCATAACAGGCAATGTGTTGATGTTTGTCATTGTTTCTAAATCCAAGGTCCATACCAGAATAGAAATAATGAGTACTTCTGATAAAAGTTTTATTTAGTAGTTGTTTTTATTTAATGTAATTATTAACATTAATTCAGAACAAATTGAAAAAATTTTATGCTTGTGTACAGTAGTATTCATGTCTGTTGTAGTTACAGTAGCCTCAACAAGTATGATTGAACATCATGATGGCATGAGATTTTAATGCAACTAAATATTGTCTGATTCTGTGTATGAAGTGTCCTGTATGCATGAGTAGATTTTACGCCTTAGTTATTTGCTAATATAATCTGTTGATCTTTTGAGCAAACAAAACTTGCGTAAACCTGAAAATATTTTCTGTAACATGATTGATCGATAAATATTTATGGTCACATTAATTTAAATATTTTAACATGTTTGATATAAATTAACTTGATGTGCGCAGTTTCATAGCATGTTCCAAAATAATACAATGTGGTGTGGATCAGTGGATGATTTGATTAATGTGTGTAATTGTTTAATTAACAGATATTGGAAATATGAGTTTACTGCCTTGTACAGTTGCCAACTGAAAGTTTTGAAAGGAAATATTGCATTAATAAATATTAGACATATATGAAATTTACTTATGTAGGAAGCACATTTTACTAATATAATAGTAAATTGACAAACAATGATTTATAAGCATAAGGAAGTGTTTTGACAGAACATTGGTCTACCTTTTTCAGGTATAATCTTCAGTTGTTGTAGCTATTCCTCAGCAGGTATTTAGATTTATATAAATCAGGGGTGCTCAGAAATCAACTGATCCCTCTTCATCCCACTTATGGCTTGGAAGATGATTAGAAGTGCTACATCAGATTAGAAAAAAAAAACTTCTTGTGGTGGTGTTTCTTTATAATTAGTCTAAGTAAACTTTAGGTTAACAAATGCCCAACTTAACAGAATGGTGAAGATCTATAAATCCAAGAGTTTGCTGTGGGGGAAAACTGGAGAAAGCCCCATTTTCATTGATTTGACACAGAATAATCTATCCCACCAGTGCCCAAAACATGGACCCAAATTGGGGGGGGAAAAAGTGTTTTTCATTGGAATCTTCTTCTAGGATAAATTGTGGTTGGTTGCTCAGACAACAATGGAGGAGGCTATCCTTGAAATTGTGATCATCTTCTGCTGGGTTTGGGTATCTGAACTTTTCCTTTTGTACGAGTGTTTTCTTGAATGAATTGAGTATATTATGGTGAGGGCCTGCAATTTCAGTATCTAGAGATTTTGTGGTGTTTGGGTGCTTCTAATATAGGCGTGTTCAAGTGTTAGGTTCATCAGTTTCTTTTTTTTTCTACTTTTTCTCATTGTGGGTGTATTTCAACCTGAATCTTGAGCTTAATTGCGTTTGAATTTGATGGCTGGTAACAGTAATGGTTTTGTTATTTGTGGATGTTGTGACAGCAGGTTGGTCCTCAGTTTGAGTTTTCTGGACGGTATGGAGGTTCTAAGCATACAGGGGTTATATAAAATATCATATATCAGAAATACAAAAGAGGTTTAATGTCACCTAGCAATAGGATTATAGCTAAAGACAAGGTATTCTTTGTAGGTACAAAGTTATATAAACTGTTTATATAGATGAAGTATGAGGATATTTTTTGTGACAGATTGTGACTGGATCTTGTATTGGATGGCATCGAGTTTTTTGTATATACTTAGTGGTCACTTTGTTTCCTCATTTTACATCAACATCTAAAAATCCATACAGTTATTAAATTCTACTTTACGAGTGAAAATTATGACATTTAGTCGCAAGGTGTTTAAGAATTCTATGGAATTAGATATTTTTCCTACATTCTCATAAATATTGTCAATGTATTTGAACCAGATTTCTTAATGTGTGTGAATTTATTTCTAAATAGTTCTTCTAGAATGAACATATAGAGGTCACTACCCTTTGTTAATCCATTATTTTATTTATAGCAACGGCCTTTGTAGGCGAAGCAGGTTTTGTTTATGCACTATTTTGTTAGGTTGGTAAGGTAGTCTGTATTAGGATTGTCTTGTTCTAGTTTTCTTCATTAACATGGTAAGGCCTGTTCGACTGGTATTGAGGTAAAAAAAAGAGATTTTATGTTAAAAGACACCAAGATATCTTTGTTTAATTGAATATTTTTTAATGCTATCTAAAAAAGTCTCAAGTTTTTGAGAGAACAGGGGTTAGTTTGTGGATAATATAATATTTGACTAAGAATTTAGCAACATTTTGTACCAATGAACCTATAGGTCTGAAAGGAATGTTATCTTTGTGAATTTTAGGAAGAGCATAAAAAGGAGGATTGATAATCGGTGGGAATAAGAGAAGTATTTTTGGTTAATAGTTAAGAATATGGCCACCTTTAATGAGCTGTTCAATGTTTGAAAGAACTTTGTTAACTGGATCACTTTTGAGTAAGATATAACGTCCGTCATTTAGTAGGGTGTATACCTCCTCCTTTGTAATATGTTTTATATACAACTACAGTACAACCACCTTTGCCAGCTCTCATTATATTTATATATTATTGTCAGATCTTGATTCATTGCTGTTAAAGTTTTGTTTTAATTTTGCCCTTATGTGTTTAATGCCTAGAGTGTATGTTAATTATGATTTTTTCTGCTTCATTAAGATTCAAGTTTAAAGAGTTAATGTTGGATTCTGATGTAGCAACAATTTGTTCCATAGGTAAAGTTCTGGGTTTGATAGCTAAGTTTAAACAGAAATTTAACACACAAATCTGATTATCAAATAATGGTTTTGCCCAAGATATTTAAAACTGAGAGGTATATTTACAGGTTGGATATTTTCCACCTCTTCTTTCTGGTTTTCTATCAACTTTTAGGGTTTCTTGTTCTGGTTTGTCTTTTTCTTTTCTGCACTGTTGGTTGATTTATACCAACTGGTATATTTGAGTCTAAAGTTGGACTTCTTACTTGGAAATGTTCCAGGGGATGTCCTTTATGGTGGCTCTTAAAACTACAACCATTTTTTTAAGTCACAGTTTCGACCTGTTGAGATGTATAACACATGATTTGAATAAAACTGGGGATGACTTTAGAAAACTTGCACTTTAGGAGAAAGCGTAAATGTTCTAGGTTCTGGTGGTGCTTTATTCTGAGCTTAGTAAACACACTTCTAGGCTCGTTGATAGTATCGTAAATGGAAACACAAACAACAATTTATAAGCATAATGAAATGGATTTATTTTGATGAACGTACTATATTACGAAAGAATATTGGTTTGATCTATAGCTGAGCATACAAGGTTTACATACAAAATTGTAAAGTACATAGACAAAAGACAAGTGTTTAATGTTGTCACTTAGTGACAGGATCATAGACAAAGACATGATGAAGTCTGGTCAAGTGTTTGGCTGATCTTACTAGGGCAATTGTCATGGTTTAGTGAAAAATCACCTGCCCTAATGGTTTTTATTGTTTCTAAACACTTTCTTTTTTTTAGTTTTGGGCTGGTGTAGGAGAAAAATTTCATCCAAAGGTCTTTTGTGATCTGATTAAAATTGATAAAATGTTAAAGCAGATATCTGAAACTTGCCTCTACACATGTAACCTTGGTGTTCTTTTCATCTTATTTCCAACGAATGTGACATTTGTTTTGACATCAGTATTTAAGTTATTAAATAGAGTGGTAATTTCATTAGCAATTTCTGGCATAAAAGAGAATGAAACATTTTTTTGTTGTTGTTAAGGAAAAGACTGGAATTAGCATAATATTTTTTACAGTTTAGAAGTTTAATATAAGGTATTCACCTAGATTTTGCTTGTGCACTTGACTAGCCTTTTTTTTTTAAATTATTATTCTTTCACTAGGTAACAACATTCTTCAACATTAAACCTTTGCATCTTTTGCCTTTGTGATTTTTTTAATATACACGCACACACATATATATACCTTGTGTGCTCAGCTGTAGATCATACCTGAAAACAGACCAGTATTCTGTCAAAACATACAAGTTCCCCAAAATAAAAACACTTCATTATGCTTATAAATTCTTGTCAATTTACTGTAAAGAAGTGTACTTGTTAAAGAATAGTTTACTTTACAACTAGAAATGTGCTCCTTCCATATATCAAAAGTCGAAACACAGTAATCACAAATGTTAAAATCTGTAATGATGTAATAACATTTTTGTGATTAAAATTAAAAAGTATAATTGGTATGCAGTATCATAAACAAATGGATAAACTGCCTTTGTTAAATATATTCTGATAAAGTATTAATTATTCAATAATGGTGTGACATGTAAGCAAATTGACTCTTAACAAAGTCTATCTTGTCTTTATTGAACAATATATGAATAATGTTTTACAGTTTCATATATTATATGTAATAATTCAATGATACCTTATAAGCTCAGCTCAAATGGTCAGGAAATAACATATTTTGATCAGGAAATTTCATTCAGCCAAAGGTATGGGAACCATGAATATTACTTATAATAAAGTAGCTTTTTTCAAACTGGTCAGACAGATATTGACATCCATCCAAAACAAAACCGTCCGATTACTATCTGCTATATATTTTAGGGTTACTGTTGAGTAACTCAAACAGATGCATTTTCTTTCTTTTTTTAAGTTACAGGTTATTAAAAGACAATGAAAATGAAAAATCAACTTATAGTGTACCAAACTAATTATTTGGTGAAGTGTAATTTAAAGTTTTTTTAAGTGCTTGAGTTATTTGATTTCTTAAGTTGTGATTCTTCTTTTCAATTTTACATGTTTAAATATAATGATTAACTTTTGTATAATGAGGTTAATATATATCATATATTGTGAAATTTACAAAATCTGTGCAGCTTGAAAAGTTTTTAAATTATTAATAGATATCTTCCTGAATAATACTTCTACTGCACACTTTACATTGATTAATGTTTAAAATCCTTCTCAGGGTTGATTAGAAAACCTTCAAAGAACAATTCATTTATGCTATGTTGAAGTATTACAATAGTCTATCATAAACATTTATGTTGTCTCAGATGCATAGTTGTAACACTATGACTGCCACCTTTATAGATACTCTTCCAGTGCCAAGTTTAGTTTTAAATAGACAAAAAAAAAAGGACACGTTTTATAATATTTCATAACTTAGCAGAAGCTGTTTGATTTTGGTAAGTTTGAAGGGGAATATCTTTTCTTCACGGCAGTGTTAAACTTGTGGTTAATATTTTTCAGTTCAAAAACAAAGGTATGTGACCCATATAAGTTTTCATGGCAATGTTCTAGAACAATGGATCTCAAACTTATTATATGATAATCTCTTTCCTCGGCCTGGTGGTTCGGACACTGGAATCATAATCTGAATCGTCATCACAGAACATGCTTGTCCTATATGGTTGTTGACTGGGTCAACCACCCAGGTGTAAAAATTCTTGTTTTACTAAAAACATCCTATATGCCAGTATTTAATGTTATAGTGCAGCACAGGTTCAAACAGACATACATATAACTGTACAGTAATGTAAATTTCATGTGAGATGTATCTTACCCACTAGTAGAAGCATGTATCTATTTATTGCAGCAGGACAGTTTCATCCAGGTTTTAGTGTTTGTGATAAATATCATGAGATCACCTTCTACTTGTTTGTTATTGATAGAAACCAGTGCAGAAAAGTAGCATGCCAGCAGTGAGACTTACCTCAATTTATTAAATGCAGATGTATTTTTTTTTTTATTTATTTCCTCATAAACATTCCCATGCCTTGCATCAGTTTGAGAACCACTGTTCTAGAGAGAGGCATGTGTGTTCATGTTCAGGGAGCCCTAGGCTTCATACAGTTGTTAGCTGAGATACTAGTTTTTTGATACCTTTAACAATTATATGAAATGTTGTGTTATTTAGACATGAAGATACAGTTTGCATATTTTACGTCACTGGTTGACATTAATGTAAAATGTTAAAATCATTCACTGTTAACCATTGATAAGGGAAGAGGAATTACAGAAAACTACAAAGAAACATGTTTCTTAAGTTTGAATTAAATTTCACAGAAGTTTTCAGTACTATTTCAATTAGGATAATCAGTGACTATAGTGGGCTAAATTGAATAAAGATAGTAGAGCCATATACCAGCATGTAGGCGTAAGTATCATAATAAGCCAGTATTTTTAGGTGCATTTTTGCTAACAAAATATATGGAGGGATAAAGCTGTCATTCTATCTGAAATCAAAATTCACTGTAGAAGTGCTTCATAATTAGTGATGAAAAATACTGCTTCACTGGTTTTTTTTAATACACTACATTCTACAAAAAAAAAGTTGAATGTAAATTTCCAACAGTGGTGTTAAAGAAAATAAGTTGCTTAATATTATGAGTTTATATGTTTGTAGGGAAGTGCAGGAGAATCTAAGTTCCCAGTTCAACAAGCTTCTCTATGTTTTGTTGAATATTTTAATTTTTTTTATAACTATAAAACAACCTTTAATCTTAAACCAAAGATAGTTTTAAATTAATACAAAAGTTTTATTTGATTACTTTTGTAACTGAATCAAACTTTGTACTTTTAATAAGTAATTTGTTCATGTATACTAGTCAATAGTTGAGGGCTGTTGACAGGAATTTGTATCGACTGTTATCACAATAAATTTTGGTATTAGCTCTCCACTGTAGAAAAGTGTTGATTTCTCATGAAAATACACACAAATATAAGTCCTGGAGGTTTTCAAAGAGAATCATAAGTAATCTTGCCAACTTCATCAATAACAAGCCCTGAAGTTACTAAATTGTGGCATTGCATATTTTACAAATATGACATCTCAGACACATGGAAAATTTAAAGTTCTGTTAGTAATTCCCTAGATTATTAAAAATTATGGAATATTATTTGTCAGAATTAGTGACAACCTGCTACGGAGTAAAGTATTTTTACAGCACCACCTCTCCAGAATAATGTTATTTTATAATTAAGGGAGAAGTGTAAATGATCTTTAGTAAGAAGTTAAGTTTAGGACAGAATAAAACCTCTTAATACTTTAGAGAGCTTAGGTTTGTAACCTGTATTAATACAAAACAGAAATTAATGTTTTAAACCAATGTGTACCTATAGGTTAGCAAAATATATCACCTATAAATTTTTTGACTTTACATACTCAAGTACCTGTAATCTATATCTTTACTGTTGTTTCACAGTATTTTATCTTGTGATGTACAATCTATTAATATTTTCTTAAACATGTGCAGAATAATGAAAATATTTCTGGTCTTAAAATCTTTATTACAAACTGAAAACTATATATATCCAACCAAATATCCTCTATCATCATTATTAATTGGTATGCACGCATCTACAACATCATTCTGTAAGCCTAGAGCTTGACCTTATTCAAAAGTATCATCACCATGTGCATGCGACTTTGTTTTCATCTTGTACTTACCAAAGTGCATTTACACAACAAAACAATCTTACAATTATGATAAAGTATGCACTACTAGCAATATATAACTAAAAAATTCATAAAGTTAAACTAACTCAAGGACCATAGTATATAATCCCTGGTACAAATGCCAGTCAAGTATTATTTTACCCAGAAATACAAAAAAAGAACATTTCTACTTTAAGATCTAGTTTCAATACTACTGACCAGCTACACTATCATTAAATGACCAATGCATACCTCTCTTAATATGAAAACTTGTTATAGGATTATCTTTAAGAAAGTTTATAAAACATCCCAATACCTACACAATGTTTATGTACAAAATATACCAAAGATACTCGGAAAATAAATAACACACTATATTCCAGAAAAGTGCTAAAAAAGGAAAAGGAAAAGCACTATGACAAGTTATGTGTACACACCAAACAAGCAAGAAAATACTGGTTGAAGATGTTAATTTTCAGAGTTAGAGAGTCTACAGTGTTATCTATTACCTTGTGTATATTATTTTGTAGGTACATATCAGCTGACCAAATTTCATAATTCAGATTGTTAATAATAACTAAAAGTATAATTATATTTTTCTCTTTCCTTTGATTTTATAAAGGCCTGTTCTACTTGATAAATAATGATATAGAATTTTGACACGCACACACAGATAATTTTGCAACCTCCTTTCCTAAAATTTTCCATAGACACTCTCATCACTGTAAGCTATGTACAAGAAGAAATCCTCTTCATGGTGTTCCTGTAATACAACAAAAACTCTTAGAAATTAATAACTTTAAAATATAAATGCTAATAAATATAATGTAGCATGGAGCAATATACTATGCAGTTTTTTAGTTGTTTTTTTTACATAATGCCTGTATTAGGTCTGTATTTTATAACTTTCTTATCAATACAAAAAAATTTTTTATAAGTTTCTTGTGTCATTCTTAGTTATGCTCTACGCTACCTGCTATTTTCCTCTCTCCTCACAGATGAAGCACAAGAGCTACGTTGCATTAAAGTGATGAAAAACGTGCCATAGTAAATATGTGGTTGCAATAATATGATAAAGGTAAAATTAAACAGTGATGCATACATACATATAAACTGTGTATAAGGAAATTACAGACAGAAATCACCATAACTGCTATAGATGCTTCACAACATGCACTGTTTACATCTCTTGTTCCACATACAGAAGTTTCTTCAAATTTCTGCACAAATGTGTTAAATTAATGTTGTTTCTGTTTCTTGCTAAGTGCAAAGTTACACAATGGGCTATTTGTTCTATGAAACCCTGGATTTTTAGCCTTTAGGGGCAAATGTATTTTCAAATCCCCATAGGTATCTTTTAGAGTCACTAAGTTCTTGACATAAACTTTTTCTCTGAGCTATAATATTATTAACATTGGATACAATAAGCTAAAAATGTTATGTTTAATTGTAGTCTCATGTATTTCTAATTGTTTCTGAATTATACATGGCTGGAAAAATGAAAAATAAAAATTTTGCTAATTTTAACATATTCTGATTAGAATGGCTTCACTTAAATGTCGCACCTCTTAAATTTGTTTCAAAATAGGAAAATGTTTTTATGTCTTTCTTTTCCTGCTACAAACTGGTCAAATATTTGTGTGAAATTACTCAGTAGTAATTATTGAAATTATCTGCAGTATTAATGATATTTTATATTTACCTATTTGTGCCTGTCTATTATGTTAATGGTGATCCTGTAGACCAGACCAGTAGTTCTCAAATTTTTTTGCTGGCCTCCCCAAAAATATTTCAGGTTGTTATACCCCCCCAATACACACACAAAGTGATAGTAGCACACCAGTAGCAATGAGGTCCTTGTCTATAGTCAGATACTCGGATGTTTATATTCTTTGTGTTCATTGTCTCGCCACATTATTGTGCTTCCTGTTTGCTTCATAAACATGATGTAATAATAATAAATATGATAGCTCAAAAATGCATCAAATCACTTGTTGTGTGCCTGGATGTTCTAAGAGAGGTGGTCATTTGCTGGCTTCATGCATTCAGACGAGACCAGTAGAAACCCAAGAAAGGAGTTATTTTTTGTCATGACATCTACATATCTGAAACTAGCTACGGTAGACCTATGTTTTCAATAATTCTGCTTTACATTTAGAAATCTGTCTCAAAATTATTCCCATTTTATAACCTTTTTATGTTGACAATCACACCACAGTCCACAAGAAGAACCGAGTGAGACTAAGGATAAAACTTGGACCAGCCATTAGTTGACACACCCGAGGAAACTATCCTAGCCCTATAAAGTGTCAGTGACAGTGCCAAATACACATATTTAAATGTGAACAAAAGTTAATCATTATCATTATTTTCATTCAATAGCTAAAATTATATTATTTTATTCAGCAAGTTTGGATAAGGTTCTTACCAACATATTGAAACTATGCTTGTTTCATATAACAAAACAATAGTCTGACACCATATTATCACTCATATTATTTTGTTTATCTGTTGATAAAATCAGTTTTTCTGCCAGTAATTTTAGCTGCATTTAATTTCCATCTTAATCATGCTAAGATTCAAATTTTCACATTTCTCACTAACTGTAGTGGAAATGGTAAAATAAATATCAGGAAAAACAAGTGAAATTTCTATACTGCTCAAACAGGCTTATTGACTGACCAAGTGCTGAACTGCAAAGCATGTTGGCCCAAAGCTGGCACTGCATCGATACTTGGACAACCATGCATTAGCAGTTTCGCACATGATCCCTCATTATTGTACATACTCTAAACTATCTACTATCACAATATATTTTATCATCTCCCTAAAATAGCCTTGGGAACCCCAGTTTGAGAAATGCTGCTCTAGGCAAAAACCAGTGTGTACCCACAAGCATTTTGGTGCATAAAAAGCCAATGGGGGTCCTTATGATTTCCTTCTGTAATTTTTAGGGTTAAAACAGTATGTTGCTTGTAAGAATGAACTAGGTACAAGTGTAGGAATATCAAGTATTACTGAAGATGTGCACTAACCCAAACACTGCAACCTATATGTACTGTGTACATTAAGATGAACATTGACTTTTCTTCTATGGAACAGTACAAATTGATAACATCAAACTTAAGAAATTTGGATAAAACAGATTATTGCAAGTTAAGCATATCTGATGATCACCAAAGGTGTAAACACAATCTTAAGTGGTTTCTTTTCATAACATACTGTTTGTAACATTTTGTCTCAATAATACAAGTGTAATTGTGCATTGTATAGTGCTCAACAACCACATGATGAAAAATATTGCTTAATATAAATTGTGAACAAACAAATTGAAATATTTTAATAAATCGTTGTCATTGCTACATCTAAAAGAATGAGAGTTTTCATACTTTTTCATGAGCTACAAAAATAATCTTTCTTGTTATGTGGTAGCCAAGTATTATCTTACATTTTCTAAAACACCCTTTTTAACATTTACAATGTTTGGTTAAAAGAATGAGTTTTTTCTTTATTTTGATACTTGTAACATATTTATGTTGCAATTTCTCCTTACATGTACACTGTAATACAAAGTGAAATCATATATAAAAATAAGTGTACCATTAACTGTTTCCCTGGTTATCCTAAGTATAATCGGACCAAACAGTCTTGTAAACAATTATTATACTGTTAATAATGCTCGGAGATGGCTTGAATGGGTAATGAAGAAAACTTTAATATAATTTTAACAGCAAATGTA